CAAAGACCTGTACATGACACAGACAAAGCAGCAAAGCAAAGTTTACCAAGCACAGCAACACTCAGAGAGGGGAGAGTGGCCTGACCTCTGGAGGTGACATCAGTGTTAGTTCGGTGTATACACTGGGTCTTTTTATGTGTGCTTTTTTCCTTCTCTTCACAAGGACGGCTAATCTTTAGCCAGTGTTTGCCGTTTGATTGATAGGGAGATTGCCTAGTTACTTTGGCCCTTGTGTGCTTGCACGTTGCCTCCATCCCATAATTTTAAGTGCATGCATGTATGCAGTCCATATGCATGGGCTTTAATGTGCTGATTATCGTATGGGGTCATGTTAAGGATACCTCTTCTCTCTAATGTACATGCCTAGCTCTGAGCAGCTGCCCCTTTACTGGTTTGGGTCTTGCCAGCCATGGGGTCTTTGCTTGCTTTTTGCTTATTTTTGAGACAGAGTCTTGCTCTGTTACCCCATCCAGAGCACAGTGATGCTATCTTGGCTCTTGGCAACTTCCGCCTCCCAGGTTCAAACAATTCTCCTGTCTCAGCTTCCTGAGTAGCTGGGAGTACAAGCATGTACCATTACATCTGGCTAGTTTTTTGTGTGTTTTTAGTAGACATGAGATTTCACCATGTTGGCCAGGCTGGTCTTGAACTCCTGACCTCAGGGGATTCATCTACCTCCATTTCCCAAAGTGGTGGGATTACAGGTGTGAGCCACTGTGCCCAGCATTGCTTGCTTTTTAAATCTTTTTGTTTTGGCTGCTCAACTTCTGCCTCTTCTCTTGCTTCTTGCCCACCTGTCCCTTCACCTTGCTTGTTTCTGTTTTACTCACTCTGCCTTTTATCCAACCTCCAATTCGCTCTGCTGTTCTCCTGCCTCATAATGGCAGTTAGTGAGGGAGGAGTTTTAAGGGGGCATGTGCGATGTGCAACCTCCGATCCTGTCATAGCCAGAAACTCAGTTTTCAAGGTTTCTCTGCGGTCCTGTCAGCCAAGAGGGAGTCTGGTCGTAGAGCTTAAAGCTTATTTTTATTTCTCAATCCTGACAAGAGAAGGCCGGATTAATGCAGATTCTCTGCAGGCGTAAATTTCCCCTACAAAAGAATTTTTGCCAGGAGCAGTTGCTCACGCCTGTCATCCCATCACTTTGGGAGGCCGAGGTGGGTGGACCACCTGAGGTTGGGAGTTTCAGACTAGCCTGACCAACGTGGAGGAGCCCTGCCTCTACTAAAAATACAAAATTAGCTGGGCGTGGTGGCGCATGCCTGTAATCCCAGCTACTCAGGAGGCTGAGGCAGGAGAATCACTTGAACCCGGGAGGCGGAGGTTGCAGTGAGCTGAGATGGCACCATTGCACTCCAGCCTGGGCAACAAGAGCGAAACTCTGTCTCAAAAAAAAAAAAAAAAAAGACAGCTTTGCAGGGTTACTTCTGTTTGCTGGCTCTCTGACGGCCACTTTGAAATATGCCAAAGAAATATATTCTGGGGTAAAATATTTGTATTTTCTTCCTCTGTCTGCAGCTCACCATGCTGGCAGCCCCAATCCCAGCACACCTGAAGCCTTTCTTTAAAAAGCTTTCCCACTCTTCTGGTTGCCTTCAAGTCTCTGCCAAATTTTGCAAGTAACAGTGGCTGCCTCCTTGCTACAGCGAGCTCAGAATATGCAGCCTCTGCTTTTTTTTTTTTTTTTTTTTTTCATTTTGTTGGTCTTCTTTCATTTGCAGAAGCCTCAGTGTAGAGCTGACAAGGACACCATCTTTGGCCAAACCTCAGTCAGCTTCCTCTGAGCCCTTTTCTCTGTTAGTTCCTGGCCTGCCAAGTTTAGTTTTAGAAAAGAATCCTGTTGAGCCAAGTTTAGCAAGAGTCTTCCCCACCACCTCTGATAGCTAATCCAGTTCCTCTTAGTAATTTTCCATCCACTGCCTTCAATATCTTGTGGTTATTTATAAAGCTTAATTTTTGCTTGTTCTTTTCTTTCCTCATTAAACTTATTTAATGGGTCTCGAAATTCTGTGACAAATTTTTGGTCAAGTTGTTTCCATTAAAAAGTACTGATTTAAAAAACTAATGACTTAAAACTGCTACACGCAAAAAAGAAAACCAAAGTGGTCCACAAAACAGTCTCCTTTCCTTCTGAAGGCTTTACGATGCATTGCTATCATTAACCAGTCTTTTACTACTAAACTTAAACGGCCAATTGAAAGAGAGTTGAGCTCAGTTCTCTGCCGGTCTCTCTTGCCAACTGTAGTACATACATTAAAATCTGCCTCAGGTTTTTAACAAGTGTCTGCTGTAGTCCCTCTGAAACCACTTGGCAAAATTATGACAATAAGAGAAATCTGACATGGCTGACTCCATCTTGGTTCTAGTCTCATAGGCTATCTGCCTTCACTCATTCCTGTGCCATTGCTCCCAAGCTATTTTTGAAAAATTTTGAGTTTATAGTTTAAATCAGGTGTCCCCAACCCCTAGGGCCACAGAAGGTACTCGTCCCTGGGACTGTTAGGAACCCAGCCGAACAGCAGGCGGTGAGCTGCAGGCTTTCAAGCATTACTACCTGAGCTCTGCCTCTTGTCAGATCAGCATCGGCATCAGATTCTTATAGGAGCTCGAACCCTGTTGAGAACTGTGCATGTGAGGAGGGATCTAGGTTCCGTGCTCCTTATGAGACTCTGACTAATCCTGTGACCACCCTGTGCTATTCCTGTCTCATCTAACTAATGCCTGATGACCTGAGGTGGACAGTTTCATCCAGAAATCATCGTCCACCCTCTTCCTGGAAAAATTGTCTTCCGTTAAACCAGTCCCTGATGGCAAAAAGGTTGGGAATGGCCAAAATGATTGGTTTAAATGATGACTTCCCCAAAATGAAATTACTCCGGTGAAATTAATGAAAGGCCACCAAGTTAGGAGGATGAAAGGGGCCTGAATTCTGCTAAGATGTATTCCTCATTAAATCATTACTAGCTATTATTCCAGAGGTCACAAGATTAGCAGCTTCCCCATTTACTGCTGGGAAGAACATCACTATTATAGATGCTAAGATTGGCCTCTTGAGATACCTTTTCAGGCATTTGCATTTCTGACTACCGGATGTCACCATTTGGACTGAAAATCAACCAGTCCCTCAGGCCCCACCCAGAAGCTGACTCGGTGTAAGAGGGCCATTTTCCACACCCATGAGATTTCATCCCCAACAGTCAGCATCACCCAGACCCTAGGCTCCCCACCAAACTATTTTTGAAAGACCCCTCACTTCTGAGCCTTCAGTAAGATTGATTTGAGTAGTAACTCTGTCTCCCACATGTCATGGCTGGCCTGTGCCAACTAAACCCTTTACCGAAATCCATGGTCTCCATGAATTGATTTTGTGTGTACAGTGGACAGAAAGAACCCTTCAGGTGGTCATATGTGCAGGATTGTGCCAGTTCTTTCCAAAAAGACTGGTCAGATCCCCAGAAAATATTTCTCTGTTACTATCTGGACAGTGCGTCTCCCTGTCAGTATCCAGGGAATGGGGCCTGGATCCAGTATTTAGTACTCAGCTGTTGCTACACTGTCACCTAATCCCTCATTTTCAACATTTTGCCATGCCTCCCAGTGGCCTAACTGGCTACCATGCCACAGAATCTGTGCTTTATGGTCTCCAAAGGAGAACTCACCACTTGATGTTTTGTGATTTGAGCGATGGAATAGAATCTGATACTGGTGGGCTGGGGGAGGTCCCTGAACACTGGTGGGATCTTGACCCCAGCTGTGGTGTCCAGGCTCTTGACACCATCTCAAGAAGGAAGTCAAAGATGAGTCAGTAAATAGTTAAAGAAGAGATTTACTGCAAAGCAAAAAGTCCACACTCAAGAAGGGGAGTTTGGGCAAACCCAAGAGAGAGAACAATGGGGTCTGGGCTTTCATGTTGATGGTTTCTTCAAACAAACAGGGAGTGGAACACTCATGAAAATTCCTGGGTAAAGGTGGAGATTTCTTGGCTGTGATGCCACCGATTTTTATATGAAATATTGGTGGTCTCAGAACTGTCCTGGCACTGGTGGGTATGTGATTTCTCATGTTAATGAGCACATAGTGAGGTCCTAGGTGAAACCTACATCAAATCCAGCACCACATTGGCTCCAGTCAGTCTCAGCCAGCTTGGTCTACACCCTGGTTTTTCAATGTCGGCCCATAGCCTCAAGTCCTGTAAATCTGCTGCCTAGAATTCATGATCCTGTGACCGCCCTGTACTAGTCCAGTCTCAAATCTACTTGGAAATGTTCAAACGGTTTTTGACTTGGGCATTCCAACCTGCTTACTTCACAGTGTTTCCTGCGTTATGGTCCAATACACAGAAGGAAGATCCAGGCATTTGTTAAACACGTTACACAAGATGTATCCCAGGTATTTGTGTCAAATGTGGATTATTTTGTTTTTGTCTTTGCAGAATATAAAATACAAACATGAGGTCAGCGCTGAGGTGTGGAGAAGGTTGTGCAGGAGATGACGTTGTCCAGCGCCACACGTGAGAGTGTCCAATCGTTTCTTCTCGGGAAGCATATTTTTCTACAATACTGAATTTGGAGAAAAAAATACAAGATTCAGGAAACTAGACAACTGTCTTTACAACATTACCAGCGATAAAACCGTTATCACTGGTTTGTATTCCTGGGAGGACCGCAGCATTCAGCCAAGACAGATGAGACTGCGATTCTGATCTGGACGGCTGGTGTGCAGGCATCGGAGCCGCCCCTCTAGTTTCCTAAATATGGTTTCTCTCTGATACTGAACGGCTTCCAATTTCAAGGGGAAGCTACATCACAAGGATAAGGATGTGAAAAGAACCAGTTTTCTTCATAATCCTAAACATTGTAGTCTGCAAATTAAAAGCCATTATTTGAAGAAGGGTGTGCAGGCTCCAGCTGGCCGCGGAAAGGGTGCTTGGTAACAGGATGAGGACCTGCTTCTTTGGGAGAGAACAGACGGGGGGGGGGGGGGGGGGGGGGGAGGAGGCGGACGTCACTTCCCCGCCGGCTCTGACAGCGGCTTGGTCGGCTGAGTGGCGGAGCAGACGGGGACTGGGAAGGCGCCTCGGTGACATCACGGAGAGGGTGACTAATATGCAGATGAGGCAGCGCAGGGGCTGCTGCTTGGCCACCTGCTGCTTCCCGACGAAGGAGTTTCCCGCTGTGGGAGCGAGTCCAGGACCGCCGGTCTGACCCGAGATCCGAGCTGTGTGTCCGGGCTAGGACGGCTGGGGGTGCGGTGCCCGCGGCAAGTGACCGTGCGTGTAAAGGGTGAGGCGTATGAGGCTGTGGCGGGGCGGAGGCGTGTGAACTCATACTTACCTGGCAGGGGAGATACCATGATCACGAAGGTGGTTTTCCCAGGGCGAGGCTTATCCATTGCACTCCGGATGTGCTGACCCCTGCGATTTCCCCAAATGTGGGAAACTCGACTGCATAATTTGTGGTAGTGGGGGACTGCGTTCGCGCTTTCCCCTGATTTTTTATGGTTTCTAAGGATAGAAGTATGATTATACCAAGGTGTTCATACTTTTCGTGCTTGAGTTCTGTGGTTGCTTTTAGTTAGGGTTCGCTTTCACTTAACTAGCTCCGGACAAAAAAAAAAAGAAAATCAAAGTTTTCAATAATTGGTTTTCGCTTTTTTCCCCCTTTTTCGTTATAGGACAGTATCTGGAAAGCGAGTTCTCTTTTTCTTCGCTACAATGGAGTGTCTGCTGCTGTCTCCGGCAGAGCTGTGAGTTATGGGCGGCGCTGTTTATGCAGAGATTCCTCTGTGGACCTCCATGCCAGCCTTCAGGTTCCAGCTCGGTCAGCTCTGATTGCGAGGCTGCACTCTTGCCTAGATAACGGAGGAAGAAGAAGACCCTGTGCCTTATTATTATTGTTTTACTACTTATGCTTTATTATTTATTTATTTAGAGACAGGGTCTTGCTCTGTAGCACAGGCTAGAGTGCATGGCATGATCTCAGTTCACTGCAAGTTCAGCTCCCAGATTCAAGCGATTTTCCTGCCTCAGCCTCCAGAGTAGCTGGGATTATAGGCACATGCCACCATGTCCAGCTAATTTTTATATTTTTAGTGGGGGTTCACCATATTTGCCAGGCTGGTCTCAAACTCCTGACCTCAAATGATATGCCTGTCTCGGCCTCCCAAGGGGCTGGGATTATAGATATGAGCCACCTCGCCCAGTATATTTATGATTTAAATGTGATGTTTCCTTAGGGAAAAATTTTCTTGTTGAATTTCTAACATGAAAAAATAATAGATTTAGCTGTAAATGAAATTAATGGTCTTGATGGTTTGGTACAATAAAAGAAATAAAGCTGGTCGCAGAGAGGAATCTGATACTTTTGAACAATTTAAATGATGTAAAGATTTAATATATTAAGACATCAAAAAGTGCATTACATTATTTTTAAAAAATCAGTGCGACTCTTTTGACAAATTAGAATGGCTTAATAATCTTGGTTATGCTGGGTGTGGCGGCTCACGCCTGTAATCCCAACACTTTGAGAGGCCATGGTGGGTGGATCATGAGGTCGAGAGACTGAGACCATCCTGACCAACACAGTGAAATCCTGTCTCTACGAAAAATACAAAAATTAGCTGGGCGTGGTGGTACATGCCTGTAGTCCTGCTGCTTGGGAGGCTGAGGCAGGAGAATCGCTTGAACCCAGGAGGCATCGGTTGCAGTGAGCCAAGAGTGCACCACTACACTCCAGCCTGGTGATAGAGTGAGACTCCATCTCAAAAAAAAAAAAAAAAAAATGGTTTTAGAACCAGAGAAATGAAATGGGAGACTTACTTCCAATGATACCTAAAAATTCCTATAAGAACTGAGAAAATTGCCTCCATTGAGGAGGAAACTGAAGGAGGTAAGCAGACTTTTTCTGAGTTGAGAAATACTGAGGAGGTGTTGCTCTTTGGCCTCCACCTGCTCCTTCTCCTCCGGCCCTGTACCTGCATAATCTCCCTCACCTGATTTGTCCTGTCCTGCCTTGCCTCTTCTTCCATCATTGTCACCTAAGGAGAGTCCCCAGGGCTCTGGCCCCTTCCCTGAAACTTCTGTTCTGACAGCCCCTTTCAAGGTAATTCCCACAGGGAGAGGGGAGCCTACCACTGTGTATTCCACTTCACCATAATGTAAATTAAGAATATTATATATAAGACTTCCCTGGTCTAAATGTAAATACATTTTCCCCTTCTGTTTCTAAAGCAGGCTCCAAGATCCTATAGGGTTTGGGAGAAAATTTGACTTAACTATTGAAACCTTTGAGCCCAAATATTCTGACCTTCATCAATTAATTCACATGCTGGTGTAAGAAGGAAAGACCAGTAAACTGGATACAAAAGGCGAAATGGAAGGATTTTCAACAACAGACTGAAGAAGAACATGAAAGGGTCTGCATTTTGGTTAAGTGACTCCGTGTTGCCATTCCCCAGGTCCTTCCTAAAAATGTAGATTGGGGGATAATTCAGCCATGTACTAAAAGCCAGACAAATCTGTCTTTTCTTACTTAAAATGGTTTGAGAGCCAGGTGTGGTCGCTCATACCTGTAATCTCAGCACTTTGGGAGGCCGAGGTGGGTGGATCACTTGAGGTCAGGAGTTCGTGACCAGCCTGGCCAACGTGGCGAAACCCCTTAGCTACTAAAAATACAAAAATTTGCCGGTTGGCTGAAGCAAAAGAATCACTTGAAACCTGGAGGGAGAGGTTCTAGTGAGCCGAGATCTTGCCACTGCAATCCAGCCTGGGAGATGGAGTGAGACTCTGTCTCAGAAAAAAAAAAGAAAAAGAAAAAGAAAAACAACAACAAAAACACCATTTCTAAACAGTTTGAGTGGTTTGAGAACATGTGTCTTTATTCAACCTTCAAGCCAAGGACAGTCTAAAGCCTGAAAACTGTGCTATCAGTTCTGGATAGAATCCACAGATCAGATTGAGAATTTCCATCTCCATCTTACCCACTCTCTTGATTGGTTCTTTCTGAATGATGCCTTTTGACCAATCGAATGGTGCCTTTTCCAAGCCCCCGTAAACCAATCAGCATCCATTCCCCCATTCTAAGCATATAAAATCCCTGGAAAAAGCCAAAGAGAGGGTTACCTACTTTCAGTTCCCCTCTTGCTGTCAAGAGCTTTGCTTTCACTCAATAAATCCTACTCTGCCTTACCCCACCTCCTGTGTCTACATACCTCATTCTTCTTGGTCACTAGACAAGAACCTGAAACTCACCAAACTGCGAGAGACAAAGAACTGTTAAGCTTCTCTCCTCCTGGAGTTGCAGATAGTGGGAGTAAAATGGCTGTAACATTCCTGCCTGCTGGACTTTCTGCCTTATCCCCTCTTCTGTGTCTGCACACCCTCTTCCTCTTGCTCACCAGACAAAAACCTGGAACTCGCCCAACTGCGGGAGTAAAAGAACTGTTAAGCTCTTCCTCCCTGAGCTGGGGGCAGTGGGAATAAAAAAGCTGTAATATTCCTGCCTGCTGAACTACGGAAGTAAAAAAGCCGCAACAGTATGGTACGCCAACATTGGCTTCCAGGAGTCTTCTTATATTCTTTTAGTAGTTTTCATAAATTTTTAAGCAGTGATATAATTTTTACATTGCTTATGTACAAAATGATGATACTTGCAAAAATAATCCGTTTTTTTCCATTGCAATACTGATACTAGTAGGTGCAAATGTAATTATAGTTTTGCCACTACTTTTAATGACAAAAACCATAATTATTTTGCACCAACCTAACAACTTTTATTTCTTTTGCTCAACTTCTTCATAGGCTATTTTTCAATACACTGATGAATTAGACATGATAATGGTGGACATCTTTGATTCTTGCCTGATCTCAAGAAAAGAACTTTTAATAACTTTACTTGAATCCTAATTCATTTCTGATTAATAACAGTATTTTACATGGGAGTTAAATTTCGTCAATTTTTTTAACCTTTTGAAATAGTTTTATTCTATAAATAAAGATAATTGCATTGCTGAGTTTCAATTATAACAACAAACTTTCATTTCTGAAATACACCCTGTTTGGAACTTGACATATTGATCATTTTATATCTTATAAAATTAGAATGTAGTTCTTAAATATTTTCCTTCATATTTTTGGTTAAGTTTATGAGAAAGATTAGTATGCATGTTCCTTTTTTTAATAGCCTTATTGATTCTTGCTATCAAAGTTTTTCTGGCTTTATAATGTTAATTAATACATTCTATCTTCTTTGTTCCTGAAAGAATTTATGTTAAAAAAAAAAAGATGCTATTTGTTTCTTAAATGTTTGAAATAATTCAAGAAAACCAGGCAAGGGTTTTACTTGATAAGTTTTCTATAGCTCCTATAATGTTTACAACAGACATAAGATTATTCAAAATTTCACTTGTGTCACTTTTGTTTTTTTTCTGTGAATTTTCAAACAATGTTTAAAATTAAGGTCTTATCAATCTTACTGGATAAAAATGCCATTTTTGAGTCTTGTGTAAGTTGTCAGAATTGGTTAGTTTATAAGTTGCTGGTAGTTCTTAACCAGTGTTGGGGCTCAGCAATTGATACCCACACATATGGCATCTTGAGGTGTTGAAGTGAAGAAACCTCTAGTTCTTTCTAACCTTCTTCTCCTCCCTCCTGTCTCTCCATTCTTTGTCTCTCCAAAACACAGGATAAAGTTGTTCCCCAAGTTTTCTTATCTGCCAAAGGCTGGAACCACCAAGGAAGAAATCAATACTTTGGTCCCTTCCCTTAGTTTTTATTATCTGGATTCCTATTTTAGGAAGAAAGATTGAAGTTTGTCAGAACATCAGAACAGACTCTTGTCATAAACCTTTGTCTGCTCTATGGTCCCAAAAGTCATTGTCATTGTAGGGTCTTCAAACCCATTGAATTTCCGTAAAAATCATTTACTATTCCCCTAATATTATCCACATTTTCCCATCTCCACTTTCTCTAAGAAGGGAACATGGTCACCTGTACCTCATTGTGTGATAGTGTAATAACTCTGTGGTTCTTCCCCATGCACATTAATAAATTTATATCGCTTTTCTCTTATTAATCTGTCTTTCATAAGCTGATTTTCAGTGAACCTTCAGAGGGCTAAGAGGAAGTTTTCCACGGTCCCTACACCGGCCTCACTGAATTTCACAAGACATGCGGAAACCATTCAGTCAAGGGATACTACCACATAAATTTCAGGAGCTCTTTCTCTGTATATTTCACTTTTCTCTGCTACTTTATCCAGTAAACTACAGGTACTTCAGTCTCCCCCACAGCCCAAGCTCTGTATTCTTAACCAATTCTGTCTTGTTTCTCACTCTGAGCTATATAGTCCAGGAAGTGCCTCAGGCAGAAATCCATGACAATTGCAGTGCTCACTTAAATTGCTTTACTTCTTTCAGGGATCACAGTCCTATGCTGGCTGCGAACTAATTTCTGCAAACAGATTTTTCCTTATATTTTCTCCAATTTTTCCAGTTGTTTTTAAAGAGAGGGCAAGCCTAGGTTTAGCCACAAATTTATGGCTAGAAGCAAAAGTCTTCTCTCTAATTTCGTCACTTACTGTGCTTTCACAGTCAATTTCAAGGTGTATGTATCACAGATATCACTGTTCATAAAGGCAGGATTCGTTGCAATGTTTGACTTTCTCTTTACATTTTCCCCATAACTTCTGCTTTCCCAATGCATTACATATTTATCTTTTTTCTTTTTTTAAATTTTTTTCGGTTATTGATGGGAAATTGTATCACTTTTTATTTGAAGGAACTGGAAGAGACAGTAATGATCTTCTGTACATTCTGAATATTATTCATAGTTTCTAGTTGAGCATATGCTTAATGTAATCTCTATTATTTAAAAATGATTACATTTACATAATTTACATAGAAAATAATGTTACAAGGCTTTAAAAAAGTTATCTCTCTCCTCAACCAGTTTTTGATCCTCTATCCATAATTTTTTCTGCTATTCAAGGACTAAGGTCTGATTTTTTATCTTGCCCAAATTCCTAACTAAGGGGTCTAGGGAGTAATGCCCTACAAAATCATAAATTCTTATCAAATGTGTTTTATTTAAACCTATATATTGTGACTTAGTTATTCAGTCTGACTCTGGCATAACATTATGAGACACGGAAAAAATAACCCCAAAATATATTTCCTTGTCATACCTTGAAATTCCCATTCAAAGTCTCTTGTAGAAAAAATCTACCTTCTATAGAGATTCCCCTTCCACCTTAGTTTTCCTTCCTTTCTTTCCAGATCCAGGAGATATCAACTAAGAGCCAGACATCCTTTTAGTTTCTGATAAAAAATGTCTTACAACCTGCTCTCTCTCTGAAGTCTGCTATCTGAGAGATTCCTCTGCACAGTAAAACTTAGTCTCCACAATACTTTATCTTAACCTGAACATTCCTTTCCATTAATCCCAGATCTTCAGATAAACTCAACCAATTGTCATCTAGAAAATGTTTAAATTTACCTATAACCTGGAAGCCCGCCCCTCCCCTCAACTTTGAGTTGTCCTGCCTTTCTGAACCAAACCAATGTATTTCTTAAATGTATTTGATTGCTGTCTCATGCTTCCTTAAAATGTGTAAAACTAAGCTGTGCTCCGACCACCTTGGACACTTGTTAGGATCTCCTAAGGGCTGTGTCATGGGCCATGGTCACTCATCTTTGGCTCAGAATAAATCTCATCAAATATTTTGCATAGTTTGACTCTTTTCATTGCCATATGTAAATTAATGTTTCCAGGTGAGGGTTAGACTTTCATATCCCACCCTTTCTACTGCTCCCATCACCCTATTGCTTTCACTTTCCTGAATATAACCATTACGTTTTCACCATAATTATATTTAAATAAAAATTCAGTTTGCATGCATGACTACTTAAATACATTACATTTACACCACATTGTATGATTACCTATTCTCTTTAAAAACATTTTTAAGTGACAGATAGAATCATATATACCATAAACAACATAATATTTTGAAGTATATATACATTGTAGAATTATTCAACCTAGTTAACATGTAATTGTGTATTTTTTATTATGCAATATTTTGTTGTCTCTGAAGTTGAAACTTTGGCAGAGATAATTTATTGTCTACCCAAACATTGATCATTCTTTTTCTTTTTAGTAATCAAATCTGTGTTTAGCCAGGCACAGTTAAATAAAAGCCATATTGCCAAATGCAAGTGAAGTATTGCTGACAAAGGATGCTAAAACAGTAACTTATGTGAGAGGTGTTCACTTCTCCAACAGCAAATGGGGCTCCAATAACCCTTTCAAAAGCTACAACTTTTATTTTAAGTGACTATTTAGCTATATTCCATACATTTCCTATGTTTTCAATATAATTTAGTTCAAGATATTTTTCTTTTCCCTTGTAGTTACTTATATGATTTGTGTCTTATTTAGAAGTGCCTTGTATAATTTTCAAAAATTTTGAGTTTTCTGCATTTCTTAAGGTTATCAATGTCTTAATTGTATATATTTATGTTATCTAATCCTGACATTCTTATAGAAGGTGAATTTCCCCCTTTTTAAGTTCACATCTCATAATCATGTACACATAAAATCATTTACATATGATCACATATATATTATATAAAAATTTAATACTTAACTGAGAACATTTCATTTAAAATGCAGACATGATTACAATGCCATAGCTGCCAATTGAAGAAAAGAGAGTAGTAAATTGCAATTTTTTGAACATACTACATTGTAAAAATTGTGAATTAATAGCATATACATTCACTCATTATTTCAATAAATTTTACTGAAAATTTGTTGCATGCCATGCTTTCTTTAAGACTCAACCTCTGGTGATGAAGAGTCCATTTTTCCAATCTGACAATCATAAAATAACATACTATGTGTTAGGAAGGATATAATTGAATCTTCCTTCAGAGAGAACAAGTAATTAACTTTGCTAAGGGGATTAAAACAAACAAATAAACAAAAAAAGTTTTGCAGAGTTTGATCAAGTTGTCCTTTGAAATCAGTAGCATTTTACCAAATTAATAAGGGGGAGATGGGCTTTTCATGAAGTTAAATTCCATATTCAAACAACTATAAGTCTTATATGAGGACTATCATATCAACTTTTTAAAGCCATATATTGACGTCTGTATTATGGTGAACAGATATGGATATCTCATTCTCCAACTTACATCCTCACCTCTAGCATAAATGGTATAATTTAGTTAAATTTTACAGTTCAAAGACAAAGAAGATGGTGTTTGGCTGTGTACTGCAAAACAAAACTAATTACAGATGCTTCGTCTCTTGGAATGGTGCTATGGAAATGGACAGGAATACATAAAAAATAAGAAAGTAACATCAGAAAAACATGGTTCAAAAAATCTTCCCCACACAGTCTTCCAATTGACAATATATTTAGACTAGAAGGTTTAATGTAACACCTGGGACATTTCTGCCGTGTTTGGAACCCTGTGCTGGCAACTTCTGAATTCAGACACTGGAGTTTTCATAGCATTGCAGTTGTCAGTCTCACTCGGTGCAGAACCATGCTGGACTAATAGAATCTTATCTGACAGCTACTTTAATTTTGTAGTGGGATTTCTCTTTATTAGTTCATTATACTGACTATTTTCATGCAGGAATTTGCATAAAAATATTTTTAACAAAACAGGAAAATGTGCAATGACCTTGTTTGGAAAAGATTGGGGAGCTGAATCAGGACTTTCACAATGTATTTGTCAGCTTGTTAATATATCAAAAATGTTAACTTTCTTTGAATGTTTAGTAAGATGCTTGTCATGGTTCTAAAAGCTCCAAGTATGTTATGTAACTCCATTCTTACGATGTTTTATGCAATTTTTGCATATTGTAAGAACATGTACAAAACATAAAAAAGTTTAAATTTTGTAAGAATGGAATTATATACTATCTACACATATTTTACATACGCTATTTAAAGACAGGTTGAGAAATTTGTACAATGATACAATTAGTAATGGATAGAATCGGGATACAAATCTAGGAAATCTGATTTTGAAGTTGAAAATCTTATTCCAACGTAGTCATACCTACCTGGGCGGGTCAATGTGCTATGAGTCCTACATTGGAAGGAAATATCTGAGTATGCTTTTAAGAACTGAAGAGTTAACATGAATTAACTAGAGTAGGGGAAGAGCAATCCAAATCTATTCTGAGGGTCTCAGGGAATTTAAATAAATGTAGTGTAGCTGGAGAAGCCTGCATGGTAGCCGAAGATGATGATGGAGATACAAAAGTCAGACAATACCATAACTGACATTGAATTTTATATGAATGACAAATCACTGGAAATTTCTAAGCAGGAAAATGTTATAATCTGAGTACACTGATTGTATAAAAGGGAGTGAATGGAATGGCAGTGAAGGAGGGGTGAAAGGTTAGTTTCCTAAAGAAATATAAAAAGACAATCTGGTAGTAATTAACACTGAAGTTGGTCATTATGAGCATATGCAAGTATCACTCTAATTAGTGCTGTTTTTGTCCAGCAACATTCAGCTGGTCTGGTGTAGGGTGAGAGATGGCCAGAGTGGCAGCGTGAAGAGCGGTTGATGTGAAGGAGATGGTCGAGAGTTCAGGGGTGTCTGCCGCTGTGTTTCAAGATGGCTTTTCCTGAACCAAGGTCACAGAAATGTAAAGAGTTAAGGAGGGACTTTCCAGTTATTGAGAATGTGACAGAAGTAACTCTTCCCTCTCTGAAGATTCAGCTGATTGTTCCTGTTCTTAGCTTGACAAAATATAAAGTGACTGAGAGATTCATGTACTAAGAGGTTACCGTACACTGGATGAATATTTCTATCATTTCTTTTTAGTACTTAATAACACCAAAGTCACTGGTTTAATCCACAATGTTTACTATCTTCTCAAAAAAATAAGTTGTACCTTTTTAAAATTGTTAAATTCTTAAAAGATGTTGTTTTAAATATATACTACAGAACAAAGAACAGTATAATAAACTCCCTTGTACCTTTCATCTAACTTCAATAATGATAAACTCTTGGCCAATCTTGTTTTTCTTATACCTCTTTTCAACCCTCCAGATTATTTTGAAGCAATTTAGATATATTTTTAAGGTCTATATATTTAAATTTGAATTTGTTTGTAGGTGTCTTAATTCTCCTTAAACATACAGGTGTCCTCTCTGTCTCTCTCTCTCTCTCAGAGATTTATTCCTTAAATACGTTGGGTCATTCGTTCTGCAGCATACCAGGGTATAGACATTGCTGATTGTATTCATGGTGTTATTTAACGTATTTAACCACTCCTATATATCGTATAAATCAGTAGTTATAGCTGGAGACTTAGATGCAGGTTTGATTTTGTGGCAGGAACCCTTTCTAGGTGGTTTTATATATTTCCATCAGGAGACATGAAAGTCTCGCTGTACCCTTTGGCTATTAGCAAGCACTGATGATCAGTTTAGATTCATTTAATTAAATTGGTGTTAAAATGGTCATTCCTAATTTTTCACTGATTTTTAGAAAGCTTATATATATATATACACACACACACATATATAATTAAATGACAGCCCTATAAACTATTTGACAGCACTAATGTAGATCTAACATCAGAAAGTCAAGAAAATAATGTTTTATTTTCCCATGCACTTACACATTTATAATACCTAAAACTTAATTGCTTATTGGTATCCTTCAAAGGAGACCAAAGATAACTCTGTGTGACACCATGGACTCATGAACTGAAACATATTTGACACGTTTCAACTAATTGCAGTTATTATTGCATCACTTGGGGCCCTCAGGAATCAGAAGCTAGACAGTAGTTAAAGACACTTACTGAGGTTAACCCTTGTGAGACATGAGAAGGAAGCAGGATTGAATATGAAGTGCTTCAGACTAAAGTGCTGATCTGACAATGTTTTGAAGAGCCAGCACAGAGCTGTGGAAAAAAGATCATTGGTAGAGACAGATCACACTGGCAGAAATCACTGGACAAAATGACCAAGATCTAATCCTGCTATGCTCAGCCAGTGGCTGTGGGCTGAATGGAAAGAGCATAAATTCAGCTTGAAAGCTGCTATTCTTTAAGTTTTAACAGTGTGGTAAACTATAATTATTCACAAAGATTTATCTGTTTTTTGTTCGTAGGGTCATACTGGTAAATTAAACAGACTATGATGAGAAAATCACCCCTGCATCTCTGAGAGCCTTACGATTGAAAACAATCACTACAATCCCCATCCTATATGATGCTGTTTTTGTATTACTATCTTGCCTTGGTTGGGGTGCATTTTCAGAGCCTTTTGCTTGTTCCATTTTAAATATTTTTTTTTTTTCTGCAGGCCAAAAATTTAGTGTAGAGGTTACTCTACTTTCCAAGTATATTAATCTCAGATAAACGTGTGTGAACCAAGGAAACCACTAACTTAGTCCACAGAGCCCTGGGATACACTGAAACCAGACACAGGCCAGAACTCAATTTATTACTTGGTCCCCATATGCCTCCTCTCTAACAGGGGGCCATGATGACTCTTCAGGCCTTATGTCAAATCAGATCCCACGTTCAGTTTTCCTAAAATATATGTGGTATTCCCATTTCCCCTTTGTATAGCTACCTGAATAAAAAGTTGTATGTATCTTTGGCTAAGACTTACAGAAATCCTAATAGTATATATTTGCTGTATCCCTGGAGGGTTCAACCTAAACCCTTAGC